ACATACTAGGGCCCAAACAAGAGAGCATATGTTATATTCTTTATTATACCTCAAAATCTCAAATACACGGGTTGAATCTTTAGTATGAAAATTGGAACTTGACACTTACAAGTCACTTTCATAAAGAACATGGAAATGCTTCTTACAAAAATGAAGTTTATATAACAAATTTTATACAAAAAAATAAATACATCATTGTTTCAGCCCAAAATCTAATTCTCAAAAGTTATAATTTCTAAATCTGACATGGCAGCAGTAAAGATATCAATCAACTCACAAAATCCCACGACCTTATACTATTGTGTCTCATTGGGATATATACCATATATCTGTGAGAATTCTAATACATAAATATCTAATTTTAGTTACCAACATGATTTCACCCAAAATAAAAAATTTCTCAAACAGATTCCTATTCTAAAGTACAAATTAACCATTACTTTTGCTATCAAACCAAACCAAAACTGCTAAAGCTAGAATGCTTGATTAAGCATGACATAAATTCAGCACATGTTTACCAGATTTAAGCAAGATATGATACTACACCAATATCTACAAGCTGCTGCTGCTGCCTGCGGTTGCTTGTAGCCTGTGGCTGCCTACGGTTGCCTGTGGCCTGTGGGTGCCTGCGATTGCCTGTGGCATATTGCTGCCTGCTGCTGGCGACTGGCTGCAGCCTGCTGTCTGCTGCTGGCGGCTGCCTGCTGTTGTGGGTGGCTGGCTGCTAGAAAACTCTTAACATCTCCTCCAACATTCGTAACCTGATCTAATAGAACTACAAGCAAAGGTCAGAAGCTAGTTCAAGAGGTGACACCAGCACCAAAAATAGTTTCTGAAACCCTGTAACGATTGCAAGCCTGTGAACCATAAAAGGGGGGAAATATAAAGTACATGTTAGTCAAGAATGCAAGAAAAGGTAGAATATGATATGTCCAGTAAGAGAATGCTTTGAAGGTAGAAGAATTCATAAATAGATTAAATTAAAACACGAAAGAAGTTACAAAAGCAAATAAAGTACAACCACACTTGGATGAATTGGTTCAAGAAGCTTTGAGCCAAGCAACCTAGGCCAAGATGAGATATGATCTACTAAACTTCATATTTATTTGATTTGTGCACTTAACTAATTTCTGGTTCATCATCTTCCTCAGCATCTATGGTTGAATGTTGAAATGCAATATCAAGAAAATTCTTAACTCCTTTGATATATTCTTCGGCACTTTGAGAGTTTGAGGTTCATCAATCCAATCTTTCTTGATATTTGCCATAGCCTAATATTCAATAACATAAGAAGCTATAAGGAGGGTGAACAGCTAAGATAATAAACTAAGAGACAACTAATGACATAAATCCTTGGATATATGGCCATTCCCTACAGGGTAAACTAAAGTTATATCTAGTCATATACTCCCCACCAATTAAACATGAACTGACATAAATGAAAGCGTAGACTTTACTTAAATTATGTCTAGTCAAGAGGGTAAACTGAGAAGAGAAAAAAACACACAGTGTAATATTTATAACAACATGCAACTCATGACGGAAGACGAATATCATCATCTAGACATCATAAGACATAAAATAGTATGCAAATGAAGTATGATATTCTACTGATTAAATTAGTAATTATACTAAAGCTAGTCTATCTAAAATATGATTCCACGTATTGATAACAAAAATATAGATCATCAAACCAATTACAACATACTCATAATCATCTAATATGACAAAAATAAATAAAAATCTCAAATTTCCATACTCACAATTAATAAATTACTCCATTGAGCAACCGAATCATTACCATTCACCACTGCACCAACAACTATTTGGTCGAATCATTACTCATTAGTGATGGTATAATAATAATTTTATTTTTTTGACATTAATCATAATGCTTTTTTTAAAAAAAAAATAAAATAATACATAATACATGTTGTTTACGGGTGTCAATTCGGGTAAACGGTTCGGATTCGGGTTGGGTTTATTGGTTTTGGGTTTAACGGATCGGTTTATAACGGTTGAAATGATTAGCAGGTCGGTTTTAAAAATTATCGGGTCAGTTCAGTTTAGTTTTTTTTTTTTATTATTGCGATTACGTCCTAATCGGGTCGGGTTGTAATCGTTTCGGGTCATAATCAGTTTGGGTTGAACCGATAAGTTTGAAAATGGGTTTATCCAATTTGAAAAAGTAAACGTGAGTATAAGTAGTTGACTCTTTCGTAAATGGGCAACTCGGTATTGATGATGATGAGTTGAGTTTGAGTCATGAAAGTCACGAGTTTGATTAACTTATACGTAAAGAACAATGGATTAGTAATTATATTATAAGCATCATGACATATAAGCATAAGACTTATAAACATAATAAATCGATTGGACTTTCATATTTGTATAAAATTAATGGCAAAACTCACTATCTTTATTTTTAATCTAATAAATAATTTGACTTTCACATTTGTATAAAATTATAAATTGTCATAATGGTTAAAGTTACCCTTTTGACCCACCATGGTTTGGGTCAGATTAATTTTGAGTCGAGGCAATAATTATTGGGTCCAAGTCGAGTTTTGATTAAGTCATCAACTTCGTATTTTTTTATGCTCAAATTGGAGTATTAAGTTCAAAACAGGTTTGAGTAGGTCTATTTCGCGTTAGATGATTTTGGGTCTCTTTGATTACATTTTGACTAATTTCGACCCTATCTGTTATCTTAACTCGAACTTTATATGTTGACCTTTATTTAACTTATTTTAGGGTTCGCATAAATAAGTTTAGATAAGGTTTGATTGATACAAATAATAAGTTCGAATATGGTACATTAGAAAATATATGTATAATTAGGGATGTCAATAGGGCGGGGCGGGGCGGATGTTGGCCTTCCCATCCTAATCCCCATCCCCATCCCCGCGGTGGGTCTAAAATTTATCCCTATCCCCGCCCTAGCGGGTACAACTCCAAAACCATCCCCACCCCACCCCCCACTTGGATATCCACCCCCACCTAAGACCCACCTAATCCCTGCCTCCCAAATAACACAATCATTCATAATTAATAAAGATTGCCAAAAATAAAAAAAAATTATTGTTAATATTACACTTTTTTTTTGTTTATAGTATAAGTGTATTACAAAGTATTATATTTACTATTTTATTTTACATAATTTTTTTTTTTAATAAAATAGTATAAAAGTATATAATTTTGTTTTTAAAAATATATGGATGTGGGGATGGGGCAGGTACGAAGTGGGGCGGGGATGGGGGGCGAGTACAACCTAAAATCTACCCCTGCCCCATCACCCATGGCGGGTATGATTTTTATCCCCATCACCGCCCCAGCACCCGCCAAACCAAGACCCATCCTCGCCCCAACGAGACGGGGATGGAACGGGTCTCCTATTTGAACCGCCCCACTGACATCCCTATGTATAATCACTACTTATTACCATTTAATTCGATTAATATAGTATATCAACCTTTACCATGTCAATGAACATCCGAAGATGTTGATGAACTTTTGAATGTTTTTATTTTTTCGTTTTCTTAGAATATATAAAGTAAAATGTATCATATACTATTGAACATTTCATAATATATTTATTTAAGAGTATATTATACCATTCTTAATTAATTGTACCAGTGTCCTATATTTTCTAAACAATAGTATTGCGTACCTGTTTTGTAATCCGTGGTTTATACACACGGGTGTACAGTGCTCATCATACACCCGGATAAATAAAAAAAGGCGGAAAGAACATCATGTGTTTCATAAAGAACATACATGTATTTAATAAAGAACATGTTTGTAATTGACAAAAACATGCATTACCAAAGAACATAAAGATATAATTAAAAGAACGAGATAAAAAATTAATTAAATTTTCTGAAAAATTACACATTATTAACGGAAAAAATTTAGAGGTGATAAAAAATCTAGTAGGGCCGGGCCATATCATAATTTATCGTGCCCAAACCCGTAGAAAAGTAGCGGGTTTTCGGGCTTTTTTCTAACCCGATTTGAGTTTTAACTAAAAATGCATTTTTAGGTTTGCCCAAACCCATCCTATTTCGGGCCGGATCGGGTCGGGATGCGAGTCATGCCAATGTTGATCACCTCTTAAAAAATCCTTACCAAAGAAATCATTTTTCCAAAAAATAGTTTTCTATCTCTCCAAAAAAAATTCAACTTCCCTTAATAATTTAGTTTTTTTTACTCTAATATTATTTTCAATTAAAAATAATTTAAGATTCAATATCAAATTTCAAAATACCATATGTTAAAAGAACATAATTTATATTGTAAAGTACATATAGTTAATACCTAAATAACACACTAATCAAACCAAAGAATGTACGATAATAAAAGTAATTTAAATATGACATATGATAATAAAAATAGAATTTGGGCGTCACTACGACCTTAAAGAACATACACGCCAAATTCAAAGAACATACTTTGTATTATTAAACCCAAAAAAACATATATGTTTATCAACATATGTTAAATAACATAAGTTATAATGTAAAGAACATATAATTTTACTCAAAGAACACACTGATCACACTCAAAGAACATATTAAAGGTATGTTCTTTGCCAAACATTAGTATGTTCTTTATCAAACACTATATATTCTTTCCGCTTTTTTTTGTTTACCCGGGTGCACTATGAGCATGGTGCACCCGGGTGTATCATCTAATTTTCACCTGTTTTGTGTCCGTACTCGATCCAGTTACCATTCGAGTGCAACGGAGGCTCCGTGTATAAATAAAAAAAAGTTTCTCTTGTACACATATGTCAATGAAAAACTTTGATTGATAATATCTATAATTATCAATAAGTAAAAATTATAACAGCTGAATATTAATAAATTATTCATTGAAACGATTCCAACAAGTACCCACAAGACTATATTTATTCTTTTGTATAAATCACAAACATTAGTCAAAGTGAGCAGATGAATAATGCAAAAAGTCAGAAGACTTCACTTATTTAGACACGGAGGGAGTATAAGGGTATTATAGTCACTTTCACTTACTAACCTTGATTTTTACCGGGTTATAGAGAGTAACTTTATCATTTAATCATATACAGTGTTTAATTATATAGATTATTATAATTACTCACAAAAAAAAATTGAAAAATCATGTAATATGTGAACTTTATAACAAATTAAATAATAACTCAACTACTTTATTATCAAATCATTGTAACTTCTTTGTACCTTTTTTTTTTTTTACAATCTTCTTTGTATCTTGGTTTCTTCTTTTTTACACCCACCTAAGTAACGAAGGGACTTACTCCACAATTATCCATAAATAAAAAGAAAAAAAAAAAAAAAAAAACATCATCCTCGACTTCTCAAGACCTCAACGCCATATTCGTTCTCCAAAACCCGCGAAATGGTGAATTTTTTTTGGCTCCAATATTTTTCTACTATGAATCAGCAGTTACTCCACGATCCAGTTGTTGATCTCACTATACAGCACACTCATCTTCTTAATCGGTTATATACCTTCTTCATTTCTACTCAGGTGAGAGTTAATGAAGAGTATGGGTATCTGTTTCGTAATCAATTAGTTGCTTTGCTCTCTACTCACACGGCTTCCTTTGCTTTTATCATTGGCTAGTGGGGTTTGATGCCACCGAATAATTTTTTGTTTTCTGAATTCTATTTGTAAGTCACTGTTGCCCCTTTTATCTCTCAAGTGAATTTAATCTTTATAACTGGTTAAATTGATGTTGGATTTGATTTTAGATGTAATATATTCTAGGTTGTATTAATTTTAATTGTTTGATTTAATTACTAAGAACTTTCTAATTTCTGGTTGTTGTGGTTGTTATGCTTTTGCTAAGGAGCCTCTATATGACTACAATTGGTTGATGATACAGATAATTTTGGTAGTTTTTTCTTTTTTTTGGGTAAAGATTCTGGATATAAATCTCAATTAGTTTTATACAAGATACTCGTATATGATATGCATCTTGGTAGTGAAAATGGAGGTGAAATTAGCTTTACTGGAGAAATTTTTAATTGTTGAGTTGTATATTTTTCCATCTGTTGTCTAGATCTGTCAAGGTGCATGTTCTTGATGAAAATATGCTGACAAATTCTCATTTTAGTGTATGAAGGTTATCACTATGTGGCCAATAAGATAGCTGCCTTACAAGGCCAACTTGATATAAATAACATTGTAAATAGTTTGTACACGTTTCAAACAACTCCTCTACTTGTTAACATGGTAAATTGAATAATTTAAATAAGGCATCAAGTAAGTAATCTATAATAGTTACTCCCAATATCGTCTTTACTCTATTATTGTCTTGCTTTTATAGATTCAAAACCATCTTGTTATCTATAAGATTCAGAAAAAAAATTCAAAAAATTCCAAATGATTCAGGACTATTTTTGCTGTTTCTGGTGTGTTTTAAGCGGCATTTAGAGATTTTGCTACTTTCTAATCCCCATTGCATCTTAGTTCTTTTAGTCTGGTGGTTTGGTTAAAACATGATACTGTGCTTGTGTTGTTTTTCTCTCTATAGATAATCTTGCTATATTCCAGTCTTTACTCTTCAGATCTTGCGTGTCTTTCCTTATTAACCAGAATATATATAATTACCGCTTTGTTATTGCTTTTTTATTTTGTACAAGCTTGCTTTTATGATAGCTCATATATGGTTATTTTTCTTCTGTTTCATTGATTTATTTTCACATTTTATTAGCTCCAAGTATGACAAAGAAAAAAACCAGTATAAGAGGTTCTGGTGATCAACATCTTGAAATTCATGAACCAAGAATTACAGAATATGAGAGGCTTAGATTGGAAAGGATTGAAGAAAATATGTCAAAAATGCAAGAATTAGGTTTGAAGGATAAGGCCATGTCACTGGCGATAGTAAAAAATAGTAGAGGCAATTGTAGTAAGCATAAAATGAATAACATTTCTGCTGAAGATGGGCTTTATAGGCCTAACCAAGATACTGATATGGAGCATGAGCTTGATTCCTCTGACGAAGAGTTATTTATTCCACATTCTAAAAGTAATCTCAAGTCGAGGAATATTCCATGGAAGGTGATTGTTCCTATGATATACAATTTATCAATAAGCATGTTTGTTGTTTACACTTGTTAAAGTTGCTTACATTTGCTTACATTTGCCAAGTCGCAAAATGAAGGTTCTGACTCGAAAAGTAGTGACAGTAGCTTTGGCTTTTCAGAAACGTCGGCAGAAAGTTGATTTAGCTTCTTCACATGGTGGCTCATCTACATCGCAGCAACCTGTTGAAACGCTAGGATCAGAAGTCGAACATTTAAATCAGAACAAGAATGATAAAGAAAATGGCAAGCTCTCTTTCATTTTTGTATTTTAAAATATTTATATGCATGCATGACCCGTCATTATTTTTTTTTTAACTTTTGAATTTCTTTTCTAAATTTGGTTTAGGTGAAAAGGATAAGCCTAGAAGAGGACCCACTATGTGCTACAATGTCCATGGACGCAGCGAAGAAGAACACTTAGGAATTACTTTGAATGAGCATGGACAACCTGTTGGTCATCATGATGACAAAACATGCAACGAGTTCACTAGCTTTTTAGGAACAATAGCTTGAAAACCAAATAGTCTACCATTGACTGACAAGAATTGGCCCATACTAAGGAATAAGAAGAAAGAACTATGGGATTATGTCTTGGTGAGTTACTTAGCTTATTCAATCAAATAAATATGATAAAAATGTTTTACAATTGCTTAATTTTTCCTATTTGGTTATTGTTACCATATTTTGCATGACGTAGATGTTGGCTTGAGCACCTAGAGCATATAAAGACCTGAATTAAGCTAGAAATGAAATTATTCTATGTCTACAAGCTGTGACTACTGGTGGCTTCCTGCTACTGTGGGTGGCTTTCAGCCTGCTGCTGCTGGTGGATGTCTGCCTGCTGCTGCTGGTGGATAGTTGCTTGCTGCCATATGTTGGCAGGAGGTAGCTGCCTAGCTGTTGCTATGGCAGGAAGGTGATGTGCGGCTTTCTACGTGCTATGATGAAAGAGGGAAGAAGTATAGTAGTAAATGCATATTTGCTCAAAGTTATAATATAAAAAATTATTAAATCATGCTACTACTCATAAAATCTTGTAAAGATTCCATGTCTGCCAATCTGATTTCGTACGTGTTCTAAACCTATTTGCATATACATTAATCCCTTATTATTATACCCTTCTGAACATGCATGGTTAAGATCTCTAAACCTTAGATATGTTAGGAGATTAATCTTAAAGTTATAGATTCATACAAAATCAGACTAAGTAAGAAAATTTGAACCAGATTAAGCCAGGCTAAGATCATACCACATGTTTTTATTTGTGTTTGCCTATCTGTGCTTGTTTAGACATAACAATTTCTATGATATTATTTAATGATTCAACCACTCAATAGTATTATAAGTGTTAGGGGAATTTGTCAACTGTAGTGTAGTCTAATTGTCCTAGTACATTAATTTCAATCGAATTAAGTTTTCTCAGAAGTCAGAACATTGTGATAACCTTAAATCATCTCTAAAGTTTTATATAAATAATACTTAATAATGTAACCTTTCTTACTTGATGAATGTTTGGTCCATTATCATGTTGAAATTTTTGTATACCATACTTTTTCATTGTTGCATAACATTATATTGTTGCATTAAAGAAGGAAGTTGAAAAGAAGCATGATAAGGAGGTTGAAGCTATGCAAAAGAATTACGAGGATAAAAGACAACAAGATAGAAGGGAAATGGAAAATGGTCTTCGCTCCTTCTTTTCTCAACTTCAGCAACAAAATCCTCAAATGTCTTTTGATCTAGACATGTTTGACTCTTTATTTTTTGATAGTAAATCCGAGAAGGATGGTAATTCGACTAAGCTGCTTCAACTTCATTCTTTAGCTTCTATATCTAAGGTACAAACCCCTTGATTTCTGTACTACGCAAAGTAGTAGAGGTAGATATTGACAAAGGTTTTTTTTTTTTTTTTTTTTTTTTTTTTTTTTGTGCATTTGAGAGATAATATGAAGTTTAATGGTTTATCTAACAAACAAAATCATCCAAGCCATTCTAACTTTTATTTTATACAATTTTATTATTATTATTTTTTTATTTTCTTTTTTTTTTTTTGTAATTTTCATTATGACATTAGTTATGCATTTATGTTGGTACATTGTAACTTTTATTTTATATATAATATTTATTCTAGGCATTTTTTTTATAGGGATTGAATAGTATGGAAAGTGAGCAAAAAGAAGATGAAGAAGGCAGCAAGTAAGAAGAAGAACGTGACGTCATCAATCAATTTGAATTTGCTTTAAGTTGTACATTGTTATTCATCGTTTAGACACATTTTTTTCTTCAATTTATTAGCTAGACTAAAAGTATGGCTGCAATATACTCCAAAATAGGTTATTGAGATGTATTGGTATTAAAAACATGTTGATATTGTTTTTTTTTTATTATTATTATATTACAAATGTTACTACTTTGGAATCATTTAGTTAAATGTTTACAATATATTTTGATGTTCGACATTTTGATGTTTAACGTAGTATAACAATAAATTATTACTACAATAGAAAAAATAGTCGATTCATTTTAGTTTTTTCATTTTATTTATAATAGTTTTAAAGCGTTGTCTTTAATATGTTTGACAACACTTTTGTGTCGTTACTAGCAAATACAACAATAGAAAAAGTTGTTGCATATTATGACATAAGGTAACAGCTTTGAATTGTTTCCTTAGGTGGCAACATTTTTCATTTGTTGCCTTTGGAAAAGTGTTGCCTTAGGTATCATTTTACCTTGGCTTTTAAAGTTGATGCCTTTGAATAAACAAGTGTTGCCTTATGAATAGACAACAGGGGCATAAACTACGCCTTATATGTGTTGCCTTAGCTATAAGGCAACACTTTTTTTATATTAGGCAATAGTTTTTCACTGTTACCTATGCTTAATTTTGTTGTAGTGGCTTGTACTTGTCGCTTGTGATTTTGCGACGCTCGGCCTCGACGCCCTAGGCTCGATATCCGACGTCTGTATTCGTAAAACTCTGTCGACTCATTAAATCCTTTCAGATTAATTTTTCGTCTCGAATCGGTGATTCGATTGGGTTCGACCCGAAGGGTTCAGTTAAGATTAAGTTGTAATATCAATTGTACCTTGATATTACTGATCGGAAGCGGCCTCCACCTAGGCATTCCGATCACTTGATCTTACTGAAGAATTAACTCTGTAATAATTCTGAACCCTCTATCGGAAGAATACACTTGTTGGAAGGACACCATTCCTTTCAATCTCCCACTTGTCCTTCCGGACAAGTCTACGTGCATACAGTGTATAGCCCATTTCCTATGTCTCTTAATGTTTCTTCGTGAACTATAAGGTAAGATTCATCATCATCCTTATTACGTTCAGAAGTGTTTCTCGATCTCCGAGTTCGACTGTCAACAGATGATTTCTAAAATCCATCTGAGCACGACCATGCATTTTCACAGTCTCGCTCTTCGAGCGGCCTTGTAAACAACAAAACATTTTCCTTATTGTTAATAGGGGGACAATCCCAATCTTGCATTGTAAGTTCCTCTTACTAAGAGGACTTAGTCTCCCGAGTGTTCCCGTTATGATCCCCAGTTACGGCAGACGTTAGGAAACATCAAAGAGTCTAGTACTCAAACAAGAGAACTTCACAATACTCATGGTCGGAGGAAACAGGTTCCGATAGTCATAATGAGAAATTTACTTATGACAATTTTTGAAATTTCTTAAAGTACTCTCATAGGTCTTATCCAGTACAGTTCCAAACTGTACCTGTGCAAATGATTTATGACTGTCATGTCCTCGCAGCACAAGAAACGGTGTTGTAAATCATACTACACACTAATCTATGGCGGTCATCAATCGTCCATCTGTTAGATGACCTCGATTAGGGACAATTTTCGATTTAAATATTCAATGTTCACTTAACAGGTGTTTCTTTATCCAAGACATGGTCTTGATACCCTGTTTTGAATATTTTCGTAAATCGAATGGACTCATTATTTAATTCTAAACCACAATTAAATAGTAATGGAGTGAATGATAATTTTGCACAAAATTAATTACTCCATAAATGAATGGTTTCATTACAGTGTCTTACATTAAACAACCTATTTAATTAAAACACATGTACAGGGAATTTCAAAGCCAGTCTCCAACATGCTTGATTCCCATCGCCTCAATGTGCTTGTTGTGTTTCACCTGAGGCAGCGGTTTAGTTAAAGGATCGGCCACATTATCATCTGTGCCAATCTTACAAATTCTGATTTCACCTTCGTATTTCCATTCCCTTATTATGTGAAATCGCCTTTGCACGTGTTTGACCTTCTTGTGTTCTCTCGGCTCCCTGGCCTAAGCGATAGCTCCATTGTTATCACAATATAGGTCTATCGGCCCCTTGATTGAGGGTACAACACCAAGTTTGCTGATGAACTTGCGAATCCAAACAGCTTCCTTGGCAGCTTCTAAAGCGGTCAAGTACTCGGCTTCAGTTGTAGAGTCTGCAGTTGTGCTCTGCTTGGCACTCTTCCAGCTAAATGCTCATCCATTTAGGCAAAATATGTACCCTGACTGTGACTTGAAGTCGTCTCTGTGAGTCTGGAAGCTAGCGTCGGTGTAACCTTCAACAACTAGTTCTTTGTGGCCTCCATACACCAGGAATTTATCCTTGTTCCTTTTCAGGTACTTTAGGATATTCTTGGCCGCAGTCCAATGCGCCTCTCCTGGGTTAGATTGGTATCGGCTCGTTGAACTCAGGGCATACGATACATCTGGCCTTGTACATATCATGGCATACATGATCGATCCGATCAGCGAAGCATATGGGATCTGATTCATTCTTTCTCGCTCAACAGGTGTTTGTGGACCACTGTTTCTTGCTGAGAGTTATGCCATGGGACATGGGTAAATGCCCTCTCTTGGCATTCTCCATGTTGAATCGAGCCAGTACTTTATCAATGTAAGTACTCTGGCTTAATCCAATCATCCTTTTAGATCTATCTCTGTAGATCTTGATGCCCAATATGTACTATGCCTCTCCTAAGTCCTTCATTGAAAAGCACTTTCCCAACCAGCCCTTTACGGACTCCAGTAATTTTGTGTTGTTTCCAATGAGAAGTATGTCATCGACATACAGGACTAGGAATGCAATATCACTCCCACTTACCTTCTTGTATACACAAGATTCATCTGGATTCTTGATAAAACCAAACTTGCTAATGGCTTCATCAAATCGCAGATTCCAACTTCTGCTGGCTTGCTTCAGTCCATAGATGGAGTTCTTCAGCTTGCAAACCTTTCCAGTGTTGCCTGGATCGACAAAACCTTCTGGCTGTGTCATATACACAGTTTCTTCCAAAATTCCATTTAGGAAGGCGGTTTTGACATCCATCTGCCATATTTCATAATCGTAATATGCAGCAATCGCTAGGATGATCCGGACGGATTTTAGCATTGCAATTGGTGAAAAAGTTTCATCATAGTCAATCCCGTGGATTTGTCTATAGCTTTTTGCCACCGGTCTAGATTTGTCTATCGATACATTTCCATCCTTGTCTGTCTTCACTTTGAAGATCCATTTCCAACCAATGGGTGTATAACCCTCGGGCAAATTTACCAAGTCCCAGACTTGATTTTCAGACATGGAGTCCATCTCGGATCTCATGGCCTCTTGCCATTTTGTAGAGTCGGGGAGCATTTTCATTGTCAGTTTGATTCTGACCAATCTTCTTAGATGCTTCCAAAGTATCTAGATTGTCAGTTTTGTCAGGTTGACATTGTTGCTCGTCCTCTTGAACTTCGTCGTGTTCGATTTTCCTCCCACTTGGCATTTTGGAAAGGTGATCCTTCTCCAAAAAGACATCATCACGAGCAACAAAGACTTTGTTCTCAGATTTATTGTAGAAGTAATACCCTTTGGTTTCTTTAGGGTATCCTACAAAGAAACACTTATCCGATTTGGGGTGAAGTTTGTCCAAAATTAATCGCTTGACATATGTTTCGCATCCTCAAATCTTGAGAAAAGACAACCTAGGAGGTTTCTTAGTCCATAATTCATATGGAGTCTTTTCAACAGCTTTTGACGGAGCTCTGTTTAGTGTTAGTGCTGCAGTTTGTAGCGCATGTCTCCAGAAAGAGGTAGGGAGTTCACTAAGACCCATCATTGATCGAACCATGTCTAACAAGGTCTGATTCCTCCGTTCGGACACTCCGTTCCACTGAGGAGTTCCGGGAGGTGTCAACTCTGAAAGAATACCATTTTCTTTCAAGTGATCGTCGAATTCATGGCTCAAATATTCGCCACCTCGATCCGATCGAAGTGCTTTAATTTTCTTGCCAAGTTGATTTTCAACTTCTTTCTGAAATTCTTTGAATTTCTCAAAGGATTCATATTTATTCGACATTAAGTAGATATAGCCATATCTACTAAAATCGTCGGTGAAAGTGATGAAATATCGGTAACCTTGTCTTGCGGGTGTACTCATTGGTCCACATACATCCGTGTGTATTAGACCTAATAAGTCACTTGCCCTTTCTCCCAACTTGGAGAATGGCTGTTTTATCATCTTGCCTAATAGACATCCTTCGCAATTTTCAAACGACTCTAAGTCGAATGAGTCAAGAACACCTTCTTGAAGAAGTTTCTTGATGCGTTTGATGTTAATATGGCCAAGATGACAATGCCACAAGTAGGTTTGATTCGACTCAATGGTCTTAGCCCTTTTGGCAGTATTATCGATGTTATAAACCTGTTTGTCTAGTGAAAGCACATAAAGACCATTTTCTGAACGTGCCTTAGCATATAAAACATTATCAAAATAAATAAAACAACTATTGTTTTTGATTCGAAATTCGAATCCTTTGGCCTCCAACGCCGATATTGAAATAATGTTTTTGGTCACTCTTGGAACATGATAGCAGTTTTTAAGTTCTAGAATAAGCCCCGAGGGCAAAGACAAACTGAGAGTTCCAACGGAGACGGCAGACATCCTTGCTCCATTGCCGACCCGAAGCTCGACCTCTCCCTTCTCTAGCCTCCTATTTATCCTTAGTCCCTGAGCATTGGAACGAAGGTATGAGCCACATCCGGTATCTAATACCCACGATGTTTTGCTAGCGAATTTTAAGTCTATAACGAAAATACCTGATGAAGAAGCAACGTTGCCGTTCTTCTTATCTTCCTTGAATTTGAGGCAGACCCGTTTCCAATGTCCCTTATTCTTGCAGTAGAAACATTTGGAATCAGATTTAGAAGAGGCTGCCTTTTTGTCCTTGCTGCCCTTGGCAGATTTTGACTTAGGCGGAAACTTCTTCTTTTTCCCTTTAAAGCTCTTCTTTTTGCCCGGACGTTTGAATGGCTTTCCCTTCCTCACCATGAGCATGTCATGCTTGCCCTCATCCTTGAGGGTTCGCTCGGCTTGCTTCAACATACCATGAAGCTCGGTGAGGGTTTTCTCCAT